AATAATTAATAATTATTACTTAATAAATTAAAAATTAATTTATAAACTAATATTTTTGAATATCATAATAATTTATTTTAAAAAATATATAAATATCAATTAAATTTTAGTGGTTTTAACAAAACAAGTGATGATCATAACCACGTTCATTAAGAATAATAATGAAATGATTTAAATATACCTTAAAACTAAAAACTTGTAAGAAAAATTTATTACAAAAATATTTAAATAATTTTATAAAAAATTTCGAATTTTTAAATAGCATAATGTCTTAACTTCTACTTTTCTTTTCTTTCTTTTTTTTTTTTTCATTTTTTTCATCTAATTCATAAAAACAACGCCATTAAATGATCTCAAAACCCAGGTTGTTGTATTTCACATGTAAGAAAGGGTGTTGTCTTATGGATTAAATTTAAATTTTAAGCTTTGAAATTAAATTTTTTAAGGAAAGATTAATTTTGAGATGCACAAAAGTTAAAATGAAGATATTTTAACCATAAATATATATATATATAACATTAAATTCGCACAAATTTAAGCCGAACATAAAAAATTTGTTATGCAATTAAATACTATATAACTTAAATCATTAGGGAAAGGTCTCTTACATTATAAAGTTGTATGGAGGATAATAATACAAAAATATTATAATTATAATATCACGTAATATTATAAATTTATAACATGATATGTTGTTACATAATCAACTCTTTTCATTCAAAATTCATTTTGATATTATATTATTTATTTATTTAATGCAATATTATACTCATTTAAAATTACATAATGATTGAAACTTATAATTTTATGTAACATTGTAAGCATAGTATTATCGATAATAATATAGCACAAGAGGTCTTAAATTTTTTAGAGTGCAAGCTTAAAAACATTGCATTTTAATTAATATTTTAAAAAGTCAATTGTTGGATTAAATACTCTATTCATATATAGCAATGCACCTATAATATCACATAGAATTATAATCTTACAATTATGATGTGACAATGAAAAAGTATAATATGATATTAAATAAGTGAATGCATAATATCATGAGTAAACTCTTAAAGAAAGAGGATAAATTATATAACAAGATTTTATATTGTAAGTTTATAATATTACATAATATTGTAATTATATATTTTTTATTTATATAAGATCATTCATATTAATTTTTAGATTGATGTAATATTTGTAACTTTTGAATAAAAAAACTTTATTATTGAAAATTTTACACAAAAAAACTAGATTTTACAATCAACAATGATATATCATCCATTACATCAAAAAATTATAAAAATAATAATTTATAAAATAAAGTGAAAAGTGAAAACCACCAGGATTCGCAGTTTATAACGTGGCAATTTGACATCCTTAACATCAGCAAAACAACCCCAAAACAACGTAGTATTAGTAACACAACACAAAGGTTCCAAGTTTCACACCCAAATTATCCAAAATCATGCCTCCAACCCTGAGGACCAACGGCAAACGTCAAATCCTCACCGCCACTCCACTCCGTGGTCAATCCCGAAACCCGCCGACCTGGTGTCCGACTGACATTGTTTTTCGGGCTTGGGCTCCTTGCCACATCAGAACTCCATGAATTTGAATCTGATCCTTTCTTCGTTGATGGGTTCCAATGGGGAACATATGGGCCTGGTTGTTGTGACGGTTTGGTGTACCCTTGTCTTCGGACCTTGGCCTTTGTGGACTTGGTTGGGGCCATGTAACTCGGGGCAGGGGGCGAGCCAGGCTGCTTATGCAGCTGCCTGTGTGAATATGGACTTGAATCTATTGGGGTCACAACGTCCATTTCAACAGTCTTCTCGGACATGTCTTCTGTGGTAGTGGTGGTGTTTGTTAGTGCTACATAAGAGGGGTAGGGCAAGCCTAATTGACGCGAGTGGTATGGTTGCGACGACATCCAGCGCTCCAGCCAGTTCCATCCCCATTGTGCAGCCTCCCGCTCATCCCCATGGAACGCAATATCTTTTCCATCTGACAGTGTCTCCGGCAGTGAGAGTTGTTGCTGCTGGTGACACAGAATTGAATCATGTGTGAAAATGGAAATAGTGTTTGAAATTTTCATAATTTTACAGAGACTAATTAAAGATATACTGACCTGATAGCTATAAGCATAAGCAAGTGCCCTTTCTCTTTCCCTTTCCATCACAGCTTCATGTTTCCTTGAGCCACTTTCTCTCGCTTTCTCTGCATTTTTGTGTCCACCAGGAAGACCCTCATACTTCTTCAATGGGCTCTTCAGCTTTTTCTCCACTTTCTCTTGGTCGTAGTCTTCTTCAACTACCCCCACTATTCTCTTTTGAAACTTTTCGTGAGTCAGTTGGAGTCTCCGGGCTCTTACTCTCGCCTGCACTCGTACTAATGCTTGCATGCATCGCATTGTCATCTGCGCTTGCTTTCGGACATTATAGCCTCTCACCAATGCTTGCAGCCTCACCAATCCCTTCAAAGCACGTAGTGCTCGACGGGCCTACAAAGTAGAAAATCAATCATATAATTAGAGAACTTAATTAACAAGTGTAACTTTTTGGCTTTGAATGACATAGAGAACAATTCTAGCTAATTACTAGGTAGCCTCTGTAGTATGACTGAATAAGGGTAGCAGCTCTTTCTTCCTTAGAATGACGGCCATAACCTGCCAAGCGAACAACTTTTGCTGCAGCTTGAGCTGCGGCAACAGCAGCCTCTGCTGCAGCAGCAGTTGCCGCAGCAACTGCAATAGCATGAACTCTATCCTCATTTGCTAGATTTGATGCTGTGCTCTCATCATTTGTAACATCTGGGGAACTCTCTGCTGGAAAATGCTCGAATGAAACTTCTTCTGGAGCCTCACCAGGCGATTTCTCTGCATTATCTTTCTGAAAAATGAACAATATTTGAAACGCTAACACCAACCAACGAATTTCATCAATTATATCTTGAATTCTTGTATTAGCTCTAACGATCAAAATTCAGAGGTGGTTGCTGTTGTCATGGCATGATGGGGATCTAACATATCAAGCACATGACAATCAAAGATGAGTGATGTGATAGCTTAGGTGGCATGAAAGTAATATGTCCTGCAGTCGTGCATGTTGGCAGGGGGACCAGTAGGAACAATAACCCTTCTCATGGTCCTAAGCTAGTACAAAGTAGATGGCTAATGGCAATCATCATTATGCATTGACAATGTCAAATTAAGAATCAGAAAGTGCAATGTAGCAATTGCTACCCAAAAGCATCTAGCCGAGAAACCATACTAAATTATGCAATTAATTTCATTGATTTTAGATTTTTTATTTTTTTTATTTTTTTATGAAGCATTGATTTTAGAACATAAGTGTGGTGTTTTAGGTGACCTTGAAAATGACTTCTTCTTTTTTTTTGTTGGATAATCAACCTGGAAAATGGAATGCTTGAATACAAAATTTCACCAAAGCTACCAATATAAATGCATTTGATTGCTTCAAGATAAGGAAATCAAATTATTAGATTAACAGGACACCTACCAAAAAGCAACAAATTTTTTTTTTTTGTAAGATTACCTTTTTCTCAGGCAAGTCCTTAGAAGACGATTTGAACACTTTCTTCACCGACGAGAACCATCCACTTCCTTTCTTCCCCATCTCCAGCGGAAACAAGACCTTTACAAATCAGACAAAACAACCGTGGAAGACATCAAATTACAATCTGAAGCACACAGAAAGAGATTGAACCAAAATTACAAGAAAATAAGACGCAAACATCTCAGGATACTTTCAAACCCATAATTCATAAGCATAGGTGGAGGAAAATTCTGATCCCAAGTGCTCTATACAGCACCCAGAGGACTGGATTTCAGTGGTTAATTTAACAAAACACTTTATGTGTTTTTAAAGGAAAACTCAAAGACCCATGAACGTGGAAACAGATGAGTTCAAGAGAAGAAGTGGAAATTAAGTACAAGAAAAAAACACGCAGATATTCAGAAACATGCATCTTTAAGAAACCAACCTGAGACGAAAACTAGTTGATAGATGATCAGACGGCTGCTCGACTTTTCATCGGTTCTTCTCTCGAGCATTTTACATGCATTTGCAGAGAGTTTGGCTCAGAACAAAAGAGTTAGAGAAGAAAATGAGAGTCTTCCTATTCCTTCCTCTTCTGAGTTCTGCAACAGAGCAATCGCCGAATGGGTTTATTCATATTCACGAGGGGGCGTTTACCTCTTAGATGATACCTCTGCTGGCTCTCCCCCACCCACGACCCAATGGGCATTCAACATGTCATCCACGATCAACCACGTTTTAATGCTATAGTTAATACTGTAACTTTTTTTTTTTTCGAAAGAAAAGACACCACATAATCAGTAGCTGAAAACCGTATTCAATTGCACTATTGTTACCATTTAATAAGGAGCGGGCTCCCCAATGTTTAGGCGTATCCCACCTAATTAATTATTATTATTTTATAATTTAATACGACTTAAATGATAAAATCAGAGGTTTCTCGTCTTTCGGACCAGTGGCTCACTGTGGGGTTTTGTAAAAATGTCATCCGGATGAAATGTTTTAC